AATTTTAACTCGTGAAATAATAATTTTACCGTACATCTGTGGTAAGCAACTTGACAATCTGTTTGCTTAATACATTCATCCATTTACTTATAATCTATTTGTATACTTCTGTTTTGATATAAGATTATATACCTGGTTTTTAAGCAATCGAGGAATATCTCTAGTATATACTTTTATTTATACTTATTACACACGTATTTACATAGCAATTATTTTGAAAGCTAAGCAAACGTCTACTATATCCATGAACATTATTTATCTCATTAGATTGACATGGAATGCTTCTGTTCATCAGCAAGTGGACAGCTTAACATATATTCACTTGCTCACAGTAATTATACATTTCAGTTGTCTAAATGTGCGGTAAAGTATTTAATTTTAAAAAGTGTGGCAGACTAATTCAGTGCCTTATCCTAATTTAATTAAAACTCCAATACGGATGAACTCCCAAGGGCCCAATGGTTGATTTCATAATTATTCGGATGCCAATTAGATAGACCGTTTTTAAATTGTTCTATTCTCGTTTAAATCTTTATTCCTTCTGTGGACAATTTGCATTGGTCGAGTAACAATCTCCACCGTTGAAGCAATTGTATATCTTCACACTGCCTTGTACATTTTAAAACATTTGTATCACGTAAAATATGTTACTTTTAATGGTATTTAGCATTAAGACGTCGATTAAACAAAATCAATATCTAATATTATGCAATGATAACAGTAAATTATCCCTTTTCTATATGAGCGATTGAATTTCGTTCAAAAGTTTCATTTAAATCGTATTTGTTCTTTTGTCGTATTAAAACTCGATAATGTATAATAAAAATAGATTAATAGTTTCTTAGAACATTGTTTAACTGTGAATACCGCGTAGAGCCATGGTGATATAAAATTGTCAATAGCGTTTCTATGTATTTGAAATTATACATAGTATGCAGGTGTGTCATTGATCGAAATGTAAGATGAAACTTTGATGCACTTAAAGACAATTTTCTGTAATATAAGCGAAAAAATACTATTTATGCAACTTAACAGACTTTAGTACACGCTTAGTACGATTATATTAACTTAAAAGTATAGTAAAAAGTTCTTTTAGACAAGTGGACACAAATACATGTAATGTTTTCATATTGGTTGTATTTCTGTTTATTTGTACAATTGCGATTTTTTGTTCCTTTTTTCTCTATATGCCTCGCATATTGTGGTATAATACTTGTTGCTATTTATTTAAAGTATTTTTCATCATAATAAGCAACTGAAATTGTTAAAGATCTGCTCTAAAGAAAATGGTTATATGTAATCCAACAATGAACCCAAATTTTGTTCATTAGCGATTATTAATATAGTAAAGTTTGACTTATTTGAAATATACATACTTAGAATTGAATAAACAAATAGTTAATATCAAAAAAGGCATTTCGTGCAATGACGAAGTAATAGCTTTTTACGAAAGCATGTATGGTAAATAACAGGAAATTTAGATAAATAATACCATCAACCACCATTGTTACCGTTATTATTATTATGACCAATTGGATAATACTTGACTCTCAACCAATACGGAGTCTCCCGTAGCATATGGGACCTACTTCAGAAATACATTCTACACGTAAAAACAATAAAAAGAAGTTCATATAAACATACGTTCTATTCGATTACATATGATTATGTAAACTGTTTTAATTGTTTTCATGTGTAAAATCTATTCCTGAGGTAGGTCTCACATATTGTGGGACATCATGTATAAATCTAGTTTCAATCTTTTCATTCCTTTGTAAACGAAATATGGCATACCGAGGATCGTACACTTTCCATGTACGTCCACGCGACAAGAGATTCAATTTTCTTTACGAATACACTTATCGTCGTGCACACTTACGTATTCAATATATCACAAAACAAGGAATTTCAATAATTAGTCGCAGCATATAATCATGTTTCATTGCGATTATATCGAATGACGTTATTGCACCAGCTATATGTTCATTGTAATGAAATGAAAAAAAGCATAATCATGCCGATAATTCTTTACCATAATCTTGATAAAGCTTTGGACTCTCTTGTGCCGGAGTACTACTAACGACTGTTAAACTAGGCATGTTCTGCTCTGAACTCGACCTGGCAGATACAATTTCCTCCGGAGAAAGCTGTTTGTCGCGTAGCACAGGTGCAACGAAATTTTGTCCACCCGATAGATCTCTTTTTACAGCTTGTGTCTGCAAAACAAATACATTCAATGATGTTTCGTAGCGCCTTAATATCAGCAAGCAAACACGCATACAAGAGACAATAATTGTTGGCGGTACCTTAGATTTTCTTGATGGTAAAGTGGCTCCGGTAACAAGGCCCAAAATACTTGCAGCAAGACCGCTAAGTTGTACAGCGGCCAACGGCGCTAAGCCTCTCCTTAGTAGACCCAGAGCTAGCAACGCGGCTTGACCTAAAATGGGAGCAGCTCCGGTGGCACTTGCCGCCGCCCCCGCTAACTGACCTCCGCCAACGCTTGGTCCGTATACGAAGCACAAGTTATGTCTGTCCACCTGTCCAACATCGGACAATAATACGCTTATTTAGTAACGGTGCAGTTTTCTGCTGCCGGTTAATGAATTTTAACAGGAAGGAGTTGAACATACCAAATGTTTGACTACTAGATATAATAGTCCAAAGGGAGTAATTAATGGACAGGCTAAACTGTACACCGTAGTCATAGTAAAAACTAGGACCAACCAGGCATAGTGAGCACCCAGAGGAAATTCCCATAACACTGCCTTCCTAACATGTATTCTTTCTGCTCTACTTCTAGCTAAACAGAGTCTGATAGTGTACATTGCTAATTCTGCGAATCTGACCAATTCCAAACCACATCCAAGTAAGGCTGCGGTAATCACGTAGTTTACAAATAGAGCGCCCTGTAATAAAGCAATTGGTTTACAATTGGAAACCAATTTATTTAGAAACCGATTTATTTGATAGGACGTTCAGGTGCGTTAAATTGTTGATAAGGTCGATGCAATGGTAGGTACCTGATCTGGCAAAAATAAACAATCCCATCTGTCTGTGTCATTCGCCGAATTCACGGTCCATTCTAAAAATGCTTGGGCACTAGTCAGTCCTAGACTGGGTAATATGAGAACCATCAGCAATAACAAAAGTAATGTTTTCGTCATTACTGCCCGATTTAGACTGCTCCTAGTCCAGTGTCTAACTAATGATTCACTTCTTGCCACTAATACTGGCATTAATGCAGCAACGCTAATTAGTAGTACAGTGGGAAGAAAATATGACACTACTGGACTTAGGTTCATAATCTCTCCTGTAACCGGTAATTTATTTAGAGAAGACACTATTACCTGAAACCAACATTGTTACATTGTATATAATGCTAACATGTTCAAATCAGCTTTCGATACAAATTAGAGAGATTTTATATTACTGATACATTGACTGAATATTACTTACAGCTGGTGTAGTAAGAAAAAATAGTACAATACCCAGAGCGAAATTGATTAAAACAGCGTTTAGATACCAACATGATCTTGGTATACTCAAGTGTTCCCAAACGATATCAGACGGTGTTGGTGCATAATCTACAACCCATTTTATGCTAGGCGAAGAGCGTAAGCGTTTACGCATCGTTTTAGCCGCGCCAGGTGTACCTTTGAGATGTAATTACGAACGTTATTATTCTTGTTGTTTTATTGAAAAAAGTGATTGTTTATGAACTGATCATTTTAACAACATAAAGTAATACGTTTTGCTATTTTTTTAAACAAAGTGCGTATCAATGTAAAGAGTCGAAAGTAATAACAAACCTAAAGTTACAAAGGCAATACCCAAAGGTCTCTCCAATGACAACCTTTTCTCCTCTTCAACTAACGCGGTTAATCTAATTTCTTCGTTCATATAAAACTTATGGGCCTCAATTTTCTATAAAATCAATATTACGTTTATCTTCACGCATTTCCGATGAAAAATTTACTGGATTTATAAGTGACATACATATTTACAGCAACAACCAATTACTTGGCCACATGGATATGGATACATAGTCAAAGGCTCTCTCTTTCTTGCATAATTTTCACAATATAAACGTGCCTGTTCAGCACAATCTTTTTCTGCATTCAATGCTGAAAGACGTCTAATGTCGTAAGCCAATTTCACATCTTCAACAGATAGCGTAGGAAATGCATCTCTGTAAAATATAGTAACAGAATATATCGAATTTGTACGATATACGCTTTTATTTGCGATAATAAATTTTGTATTCCTTTTCAGGTAAAACTGAACATACTTAAAGTATTCGATAAGGGTTTCTTCTTTGCACTGATGCTTTGGTATTTCTGTTATTAATAGTGTTCTCGCTGCCAGCTCAGCACCGTGTTTAGCATCTCGCACCTATGTACGATATAATTTTCATTATTTGATTGTTTATATTTATGATATAAACAAAGATTAATAACTAACGACTATTAAAAATTAAATAATATTATTTCTGTATACTCAGTATCATGTTACATCGTACCTTTTTCAAAAAACGCTTCATAATGAAACCACCTACTGGTAAATAAGTCAAAATGAGTATCGAGTGCACCCAAATCCATGAAGATTTTGGATTTAAGTTTGATAATGTTGTATGACCAAATGTTGCACCATCCCCTTGCATGTTACCGTGAAAATTAATTGGTAATGCTACACATAAGGCTACAACAACCATCAAACTGGTTAAAGCAATTAAGTGACGCTCAAACGATATATACAGTAAGCCATCGGGCCCAGCTCGCTTTAATAATTCTTCATCACTAAAATCAGTATCAAAATATATTTGTAAGATTTAAAAATACGGTAAAATCTCTGTGTATTTGAAATACCGCGTTATACTTACGTCACTTTGAATGCTGTAACAATCCATGATAGAAAGCCTCTATCTACTTGAGAAAGCTGCGAATTAACAGAATTTTCTATGCATAATACATCCGTGTCTCTACTATCGTTATCCCCATAAAATAACTCCATCCATCTTTCATCTGTTTTGCTGAGTAGCGCAAGACGTCCATAATTCCATGCCTTCTTGCGTAACAAACCAAACAAAATAACAAGTATCTAAAAAGCAAAAAGTACCATCATGTAGTTAAATTTCAACTACACTTTATTTAATTAATTATTACCACAAATCCAATGAAATTTAGCAATAAGTTCTCAGGTATGCCTGCGTAGACATCAGTTATTATGGTTGCATTATGCCTTGGTATTGGTATGCACTTGTCCGTGCTTGGAGTAGATTGGAGATTCTCATATTCACTAGTGCTGAAATTTCAAAGAAATAATCTTAGAAGAGATCCTTAACAAATTGGCAAGTTTAAAAAGAATTTCCAACTTAACACTTAAATAATTACTAACAGAAATGAAATAATAAAATTTGATTTATTAATGTTTACACATTAAAAGTAATTTTGTATTGCTTTTATTCAATTTCTATAATAAGATTTTGATACAATTTAAAACAGAATGTAGAAGATTTGATCTTAAGATATCTTTACAGTTTCACAACAATTTTTTCATAATTTATTCCGAAGTCCTGATATTTTGTCTACTGACAAAATACTTTTACATCTTAAAAGATTAATCATTGCACTTTATGGTTCTTAGATTTGACTGTTTATTTTGGTTGTTTCACACTTTCATTGATCCATTACAAGTTGGTTCTGTTGGTAAAAATAACACTATTACACCACTCACTTTCTTTTATTGCGTATTCTTTTGCAAACTTATGTTTCGTTTTCGATGTAATTCCATCGGTATATAACTATTTTTCCCAATTACTGAACCGTCGTAATTTTAGGATCACAATATTGATCACGTATTTTGGAGGATAAAATCCTTATAAAAATCAATGTATACCTCTATGACATATCAGTGCTATGATTAAAATTTTATCTAGAAAATAATCTGAAGTCCAAACATAGATTGTGCAAGAACTATCGCTGTACAATTGCAAAAACAGCCGATACTTTTTTTAACACTGTTAAGAAACTATGCTATAGCATAATATTTTATAACGTCAAATTATATTAACGTCCGAATATTTATGTAGCTGACAAACGTGCACGATGTCAAAATATATATTTCTCCTAAGTGTGCTAATTACAATTACGATAATATACTGAAATACTAATTGCTTTCAATACGTGTCATGGGACATTATCACTTACAAAGAATTACATATTCACGTAATAGTAAGGCAGTTGTTTTTAAAACTAACGAAAAATCAATAATTTTCTACTTACTTAATGTTATAGTAATCCATGCTTGTGAGATGTTTATATTAGAACATTACTGTTAGATAAATACAAAGACACATGTTAGCCAGCTCGTCGATTTGACACATCGTACGCGAATACTGTTGCTTACTTACAAGCTTGTGTACACGAGTTGGCATAACCTAACCTGAATGCTATGATTGCGACAAAAGATAACGTGATTTTAAATCAATCAGATTTCGCTGGTGTGAGATTTAATTCTATGTACAATTCAGATTACTTTTATATCTGCATCACGACTACTCAGCAGTTAAATGATTTCATCAAGCGTAGAAAATACAATTTCTTAAAAATTGTGCATGAAACAACGTTACAATAAAAAACGAAGTTATCTGATAAATTGTATAGTTATTAAAGTGATCACACTTTATACAAATGTTTGGATTTCTATGAAATACTTCGATTAAAAACAGATTTTTAATTCTTTGATATTGTTTTAACTTTTTATGTATATAAGGATCAAAAGTTTAGTACGAATTTTTTATAAAAATAATGGTAACTCAAGCGATGTTACAAATATCAACATGAAACTGATAATATTTTTTAGTTGAAATGTTGAAAATTGATTATACATATAAAGAGTATATACATAACAGCATATTTTCTAAAATGCTTTTAATTGTCCAACTTAAAAATAACTTATTATTTATGAAATATCTTAAATTATATTCCATAATTCTTTTGCTGGAATATGCAAAATTTGCTAGAATACGCAAGTTACAATATTACAAATGCTTCGAACAATCCGTTCACGGAATGCACTTTCGGTGAACGACTGTACATGAACCGCCAAAATTCAAATGGTGCGGTAATTATGCTATTGTACTGGAACTTGGATCGATATATGTATATAGCTTATTTTATGAATTTAATGTAAATCTACTAATATTATATCTTCAATATTATTCACCTGCAAGCAGATGTTAACAGGTATTTGTTAATAACCAATACTTAAGTACATACATATCTGCAATGAACACAAAATATAATACTGAAAATAGCAGTCATTGTACAGCAGATTAAAATCGTGTTTTAATCGAGGCATCAAACTCTGCAAGCCTATAAAGTTTCATGAAAATCCAAAGCTACATGTGTACAAAATGTGTTCACTTCATATCCAATGACAATAGGTATGTTACCTACTGAGAAAGGTATTTTATCTTCATATGAAACTAATGAATCATCTTTTGAATCAACAACTTGTTTATATCTTACTTGTTATTGGAGCATTGATTACTTTTTTTTTTAAACAATAGACGAAAAATTCACAACAATGTACGATGGTATTTAATTTCATATACACATACAAAAGTAGAAAATTATTTCTATTAGATACAATTATATTATATCTACGAAGTTAAGTAAATGTGTAAATAATTTAACAAAATATTTCATCTATATTTTACTTTTACTCTTAAATCGAAGTATCTTAATGTTTAAGATCGCCGATACTGATCAAATGGTTGCAGTTCACCTGTTGTGATACAATCTAGTACCCAAGTTTCTTTTAAACCCTTTGCATCAATTATAATTTTTGCTGCTTCTGGACGTTCAGTAATATGACCACCTGCAGTTTTTATAAGATCTTTCAATACATTATACGGAGGCGTTGTACCTTTCCCAATGTATAACTGTCCGCAAGCGGCGAACAGTTCAGGAACGTATGCAGTTCCGAATAATTGTCTATCTTTACGGTTTTCCTAAAAATAGTAAATTTTATATATTATATCTTCTGTACATAATATTGTCTGTTTACTATATATATACATACTAATACTGCTTTTGAAAAGTGCGTCATCTCGTATTCCTCTGGATTTAACCATGCACTATTTTCTAACGACTTCAAAACCCATTCAAGGCTTACAAGCCAACAACCACGTATGATTCCGTGTAGCAAGTTTATTGTTCGCACACCCGTGGTTACAACGTGCGTTGTTCGTTTCGTAACGTTTGATTCAATTTTTGCATGACCCAGAGATTTGACCACGCTTTTAACGATATTTTTATCACTAGATAAAAAAGAGATATAATATTTAACAAATAGCTATATAACAAATTTTAAATAAAAAAAAGTCTCTTACTCGTTGCATAAACCGGTCATGACTATATTTATTCTTTGCGCTTTTTTCATTCTTGAGCGTGTAGAAGATTGTTTGTTTAAAGACTGAAAATCGTTCAACGAATTCCTGTTTGAAATACAGGTTTGTGTCACATTAGTGCTATTTTCCTTTAATCTCCTTAGAATATCATCATTACCAGCAAGTTGTTTAACAATAATCTTTTTGCTCATAACTTTCCTAGGTTTTTTCTGCCGTACCTTTGTATCACAGGTAACAGAATTATTTCCTAATTCTAATCGATCACTGCCTCCTTCATTGATGTGTTCTACATTTCTGTGTTTATCCACTGCAGTAAGTTTCTTATTTTCACGTTGTTTTTTTCTTTTTTTACATCTGTTCTTTAACCCTAAATGTCCAGGTAGTAAATTTTCATTTTCCATTGGAGAAAATGTTAATAATTGTGAAGATTCGCGTAAAGGCAATAATCTTTTCTTATTCTTTCTTGTAGGTGGAGGCATTTCAAAATTTTTTGCAACTTGAATTTTTGATAATTCACTATCATCAGTTGATTCATTTATAATTATTGATTTTCGCGGTTTTGAATAGGAATTTAAAGACGAATTATCTAAGATTATAGATTTACTTCTTCTCGTCTCTTGTTCAGAACATGATTTCCTATATTCTTTAGATGTATTTTGTTTCCTACAAAATAGAAATATTAAACACAATATTAACATAATTTAAATGCAGAGCATAGTCTATAAAACTAGACGTGTCTGTACTTACATATTTTGTTGCAATTGTGTCTTCAAAAAAACAGAACGACATGTTGGATAAGGAGTAGCTTCAACATAGCTTTGACTACCTTGAACTTCATTTATGATTATTTTATCTTTTAAAGCAATAACATTAGACGGATCTCTACATGGTTCATTATTTTTTGTTTCTTGATGTTTGGAACTTTCCATTTCAACTATATTGACGCCATCAACTTCTTTTTTCGTGTCATTGTTTTTATTTACTGTACTATTCAATTTCAACATTTCTCTAGAAATATTGCTTCCTCGTGAACATAATTTATTTGAAACATCTAAAGATGTATTCATTTGTAGTGAAGTACTAATTATATTTGTATTCTGCTCTGCTCCTCCTAAAATTGTTGAGCAGATACTTCTCTTGTGTCTGTTATCTTTATCTAAACCATTAGTAGATGTGTTTACAACTAAAGAAGATTGTGTTGTTTTCGCACTATGTTCTTCGACAGAAATTCTTTGATTGCTAAATTGTGATTTGCTACCCTGTTTAGTAATCAAAGAGTTTCCATTATTACATAATACACGCACTTGCTGGATATTTGTTATATCCATAGGTATTGCATCTTTATTTGTCACATAATGAGAACCTATTTCATTAATATTGCTATGCGGTTCTTGATCTTTATCTGATGTCTCATCATGTATCATTGTGGAACAACCAATAGGCACTGCTGCAAATATACTATCATCTGAAACATTTAAATTCGAAGGATATTTATCTTTCGATGCAACAGTGCAATTAGTTTTGTTTTCTTCTCTTTCATCAGCAAGAATTGGCGCCGAGGATATATTTGTAGATAAATTTGAAATATCAAGATTTTGATTGCTTTGAACTGGTACATTAACATTGCTATGTACTTTAATATTCAATTTGTTTTCAAACAATCGTCTTTTATTAAAAGTAAATTGTTTTCTTTGTTTTGTCAGGTTTTTATTCCTGTGCTTATCCTTTGGAGTCGTATCAATGCGTTGGTTTAAGCTTTTGCTTAGAATCGCTTCAGTTTTAACAGACAGTTCGTTCTGCATATCAAACATTTGTTTGGTCTTTGTCAAAATAACTTGCTTTAATATTTCACAACTTTTATCTAAATATTCAGCATCGTTTTCTATTCTTTCCAAAACCACACTCACTTGATTTGAAAGTATATCATGATGAACTGAACTGGAAGTATTGTTCACAGACACTTGCCTATCTCTAAAACTTCGATTTCGGTATCTTTTGTTTCTTTGGGTAGTATTAGAAATGAGAGCAGGTGAAGATGGATTATCGTTACATTCGATGTTTATTTGCTTGAGTGACCCATTTCCAGAATCTGTTAAGTTTGACGAACAACTTAAATTGACAGCCAACGAAGTACGTTGATGTTTAATCCTATCACCTTTATCCGCCGCACGTTTGATCGTAATTTCATTTTTATTTGAACTCATTATTCACTGTTTATTAAACAATAGCCACAAATGAAACCATCAATGATTGAGAACTCAGTTAACATAATTTTTAATGACACATTTTGCGAAAATTTGATCGCGTCAGGAATAAACAGGATCAAAACAAAACGACGCGCTGGACGGCTTGGTTAGTCACGAGATCACTATGAACGAACTTATAATACATATATGCATGCGTATTTACATCAGTATATGATCCATATGTGCTTAGTTGTATGTATAGATAGGTTGTACCATTTACTGGATTGTACATATATGTACTAGTGATCAGTGTGCGCGTGTAAAGAACCGTCGACCTATGTAAAGAACACATCTAGAGAGCAGCACTTTATTATCTATGTATGTACATAATAATATAAATTTTTAAGACTAACTCATAACGCAATACATAAAAATATGTACATAATAATTTTATCTGTGGTTTTGTTGTATTCAGTGTTTTTATTCAAAATCATTATGGTACCTGTTACTATGTAAATGTATGGATAATTAATAATTTATATTTCGATCATATATTTCGTATCACAAAACATACACAGATGAAAATAGTGGAAATATTCGAAATTTTTTGAATTACATACACACATTGTAGTGAATATCAGGTGAATATCGAGTTGAGAGGTACTGATTCAGAATACATTTTCTATGGGATTTTATCTCGGAGGGATTTCTATCGGTGTGGAATATACAAAGAATAAAATGCATTTATGCTTTGTTCAGAAGATAACCTCTTTGAATGAAAATGGTTGAGGATATTATCATCGAAAACTGATAATTTCTTTGAAATATGTATGTTTATACATTGTTTTATGTATACTTATGTAAACAGATAAAGAAGTAATTACTGAAATATGCATATATGCAATTTATATGTACGCGTATATATATATATATTTTTTTAATATAAATATATATTGCGTATGAATAATATCATTACGTAATGGGTATGTAAAGAGTATTTACATAATAAAAAAACAAATATTTATCAAAATGATTAACTACTTTTGTTTTTAATAGCCTATACATATGTATAAGAAGCCACGTGATTTTATTAGTTTTAAATATTATTGAGAGATGGAGACACTAGCAGATGGAAGGCGGGCATGTCAGAGGGGGAAGGATTGCTCGTGCTGTTTGATGTAATGCCGTGTTAGTAAGTGATATATGTTGCTTATCCATGTTGTTTAGAATTTACATTACAAGTGGTTTATTTGACCTCTAGGAAGCATCTGATAAACTGTAAACCAGTCAAGTCCCTTTGCTGCTCCAAGACACACACTCATATACAAAATCCATAAATGGTAATTGTTTTGTCTGTTTATTGGAGTACAAAATATACACTAAAACACTTTTAAGCTACTATTACTGTATTCTAAATCATACTATTATTAATCAGAATGTTTTGGATTGATTTTAGCAAAAACGTATTTAATGGGCTTACATATTGCACATTTTTTAATGCATTGAATTATTTACAGCTATGTTGCATCGAGGCCGATTAGATAGACACCAATCGCAACATTCTTTTGTGGTGCCACTACATCATCATTAAAAGTTACTAATATATTCTAATACACATGAACATCTATAAATGCTTAATTCAGATGCTAGCACTCTTATTGTCCAAGATGCTTCATAAAGTTAATACACATTTTTTTTATATTTAAATTTCTTAATTTTATTACTTATTGTACACAAATACATAGAAGACTTTTAATTGTATCATTTGTCCACTTTATTTTTGTTAAAAAATAAAATTGAAAAAATAGTCGTAAATTCAGTTGTATAATGTAAAACATAAATTTCCCTACATTTATACAGTTTCTAACTACTCCATTCTCTGTTTAGATGTCAAATGAATCCCAATTGAAGTAAACACATGCAATGAATGAAAATGACATCCACAAAGGCTGAAGGAACATTTACAAATTCTTTGCAGCAACAATGTCCGATTACATCTAAGATAGAAAATTCTAAATCTGTGAACACACAAATAAAAGATAAAAAGAGCATCACAGATGCAGATACTAAAGGTATCATTAAAAAGAAAAATGAAGCTACAGACTGTGATGCAGAGAAGATGGAAAACGAGGAAGAGGTGATTATTTTAGAAAGGAATAAGGAAGAAATTAAATGTAACATAGATAAAGTAGAGTGTGTTCAGAATATAGAAAAGTCAGATGTACTTACTCCTGTGTCAAAAAACAATCCTAGAATTAATAAGAATTCAAGCACAAAAGAAACACCTACAATCAAAAGTGCAAATAATTTAAAAAGAAAACAACGGAATTTAATGTGAGTGCAAATAAATTCTTCTTTCGATGCTTCTCTTTAACATGTTACTCATATATGTTTTAATATTATTTAATGCATTCAATTTGCTAAAATTAAATACTTAATTATTTTAGATAAGCTAATACTATTTTAGAGAACTTTTTGTCAAGATGAGAGCTATGCAGAGATAAGAACTTAATTAACATTGCAGTGTCCAAGAGGCGGAGTCACCCTCCGAAGAAAACAACTTGAGAAGTAAACGAAAGAAAAGAAATACGAATGATAGATTTTGTTGGCGTTGTCACAAAGAATCTGTAGAAGCCCATTGTAGTGCGTGTCCTCGGTCATGGCATCGCAAATGTATAGGAATGCAGTCCACATCTATCCAAAATTGGATATGCGGGGAATGTGCAGCTATTTTGCGAGCAGAAAATGCAGAGACACGTTCCACAGCAATGGCACAATTGTCGGTGGATCAGTTGTGTTTATTATTAAAACATGTAGTTGAGAGAATGAGAGAGTATCCTGGTGTGCGTATCGGTCTCTTATTTCTGTTCATGTCTTGTTGCTTGGTGGCATTATACTCGAACATCTTTGTTACAGTCGGAGCCATTTTGGAAACCAGTAGAACTTTCGGATGCTCCAAACTACATGGATTATGTGGTGAAACCGATGGATTTAAGCCTTTTAGAATCAAACGTGCGTGCCAAGCTGTACGGCAGTACAGACGCATTCATGGCTGACGCTAAATGGATACAACATAATTGTATTGTATTTAATACATGTATGTAATGTATATTGTAAATTAAGTTAAATCAAACCAAACAAAAAATCATAGTTGGTAACTTGAACAATTGATTTTAAGACATGATATTGCTTAGGTGGCGGCGTGTACACGGATACATCGAAATTGACGAATGCAGCAAAGCAGATGATTAAATTGGCTCGTCAGGAGGTTTCCGAAATTGAGGCTTGTCCCGATTGCTATGCTCATGGAAGAAACCTACCAAGACCACAGCCGTCATGGTTTATTGAACCTTGTCGTCGTCCACATCCTCTAGTGTGGGCCAAACTGAAAGGTTTCCCCTTTTGGCCGGCGAAAGCTATGCCTCGCATAAACTCACAAGGTTTCGTAGACGTACGTTTCTTCGGGGAACACGATCGTGCTTGGGTACCACCGCGAGATTTATACTTGTATTCCGAAGACCCGCCCGTTCCGTTGCCGCGTAAGAGAAAATTAGACATGGAAGAATGTGTTCGAGAAATCACTCGGCACTGCCGGAAGCTTGAACTCGTGTTCGGCCAGTTCAAGTTTGCGCCTCCCAAAGTGCAATATAATCCACACGATCCCATGCAAATTAAATTAATGTTACCGAATTACGATCCTCTTCGTTCGAACAATTATCCGCCATCGGAGTTTCTAACTCCCAAGAAGAAACCGTTCCTTAAAAAACGGCTACATGGAAAGGTAACAAAGTCGCAGAGTGATTCGGAAAAAACTGACAATTCTGACACCGAGAACAAAACATCGACGGAATGTGATCCAAGCCCCGAAAGTAACAAAGTCGACGATAAACTGCCTAAAGTACAAGACCCCGAACGATCCAGTGAAGTTGAATTGATCTCAGTTTCAAGCAACGGTTCCAATACATCTATGAATTCAAACGAGTCGATAGTGAAAGAAGAGGACACAAGCATAGACAAAAGCACGTTTGCAAATTCGACAACGACGAACGAGGAGGATTCGAAACCTGGCTCAAGCAAGATTGTAGTCAATCCAAACAATGGAAATGAAAAGGATGCGTTGAGAAAGGTCGATTCAAGTAAATCGAATGCTGTAATAACGGAACAAAATAATAATGCTGGAAAGTTAGCGAACGATAGTACGATATTATTAGAAAGCTTACTGAAAGAAGAACCAAAAGACGTTGGTAAACACTCGACAGACGAGGTTCACGTGATCAAAAAAGAATCTTCTCTGTTAAAAGCTCACGCCAATAAAAGCGAAACGAATCAGTGTTTTACAAACTCGTTGCAAAAAAGTAATTTGAAGGTGTCGAAGCCGGTAGGGAAAGTTTATAAACCGAAAACCAGAATGGTTGATAAAGTAAATGCCGAGAAAGCTTTGAAGTCTTCTGGAAGTGAGGAAAGTCAGATTTTAGTTAAGCAAATCGACGCAATGTCGTTGAAGGGTTCTTCAAAGCATTCTGATAGCGATGTTTTATCGTCGTCGTCCGTTTCGATATCGCCCGGTAACAAAGCTCGAGCTAATGAAGCTGAAACTGCTCAAATATCTAAACAAAACGCTGTATTGTCATCTGCGTTACTTTTTGTTATGAATAATGGTACTTTCGATGCTACTGCGAAAAAATCTATTGGTAGCTCATCGATATCCGAGAAGGAAAGAATCGATGATGTTTCAACGATTCAACAGAGGCAATCGGATCCGGTGCAAATCTCGCATCAAAAAAAGGAAAGCAAAGCTCGAAAATCACTTCCTAAGACTCGTGCTTGCCCGCAGCTTATTCCACACTCGTCGGCAAGTTTGTTGTCAAATTCGATTGACTCTATAGTTTATAATATGCCTGCACATCAGACAGAAAATGGTACGGAGTATCAAATGCTTCCTCCGGAAGCAGGGCCAGTAAGTGCTCGCTTGTATCACGGTGCTCAAGATTTGGCCAGGAAAATGGCTCAGTTAATGGAGGAGGCGTATAAAGAAGCAGCTCGAGGAAATCAAAATAGTGAGAGTACAACGTCTGAGAATCATCAGGCAACTGTTCATTTTCTACGATTGCAAATAGAACGTATGAGATGGCAACATCAACAACAATTAGCTGAACTAAAGCACAACACCGGTATATATGCCATAATATATTCTAAAAGAATAAATATGTAAATTAAACTCTACATCGTGTACATTCATACTTAGACATTAAAATAGGCTTTTTCACGTGCCTGTATCCGACTGTTTTGATTTGTTATATGTTTACATATAAACGAAAATTTCATGTTTCAGATCGAATACTAAGGGAAATGAAAGCAAGTTTGGAAGCCGAAAGGCTACGAGCTATTGAAGAAACTCGCAAAGAAGCTGAGGAAGAGAAATTGCGTTGTATCGAAGATATTAAACGCAAACAATGGTGTGCAATGTGTGGTCGTGAAGCAGTGTTTTACTGTTGTTGGAACACGGCGTACTGCGACTATCCTTGTCAACAGTCTCATTGGCCAACGCATATGAGAACATGCGCTCAGAAACCTTCGTTTACTACTATCGTCACCAGCTCTGCTGCGAATGCGAATCAGCAGCAGGTGATGCCACGACTTATGATAAATACTCAACATGTGACGTCAAATATATGGAGGGCCTAGAGCGCATCCGTGTAAGTCCTTAAAAACGGAGTCACGATTTTCAAGCATAAACTCTTAATCTCAAACTTTTTTCGTAATACCCTAATACACTCCATCTCCGTCGCCTTCGCATTTTGTGTTTACATGTAACACAAAATAGTACTTTGTACAACAGTTTTTATAATGTAAAAATGCAATCAACAAAAAAAAAAATAAAAAAAAATAAAGAATATTTATTCACAGAGCCTACCGTGCGCTAATAACATGAGTGACTGCCTTTATTTCGTTTATATTTATTCAATGTTAAGAAAGTGCAATGTTATATGAGTATTAGAAAAATCGAAACGTTCAACTTACACTGGATATGCTTTTGGACCCTTCATACTTTTAAGTTACCATTCCAATAATCATATGGCAAAGGAATTTACTAACACATTGGCGTGTACAAATTTTGTCTATCTTAAGGGGCTGTTCTCGGATCTTTGCAGTTTAAAATTTGCTGAACTATATTTTTTTAAATTGGACAAATTATAATTTAAGTCAATAAGTAGTGGAATCATTGACCCGTGAATTTCTTTCACTGTCTAGAATAAGATCATGATATTAGCTGAAAAGTCAGAATGCCCCCTTAATGCATTACTTCGAAAATCCGTCCGACGTGTTATAATCAGGTAAGAAACTATTACGGTTTCAGAAAAAGACTCCACATCGGTTATCAGATCGAGCTAGGTGACTAGTAACAAAGAAAGATATCAAGCAAATGAAGTAGAACACTAGATGGCGTCAAAGTGTGTTGCATATCAGGAAAATTTTGCCAATACATTGGTTTATGATTTATGTGAATCCAATACTTTTGTGATATATGTAGTTGATCTATTATTAACAACATGTCAAAATATTCCTAGGGAATATCGAAGTATAATGCTTCGCGTCTCTTTTACTCTAAAATATTTGTTTCATTTTGTACTTGCGTTCGACTCATCAGTTCGATTCGAATCGATAGAAACAAGTAGGAAGGATACAAAAAAAAATTAAAATACTTTCCAGTTTCAAACTAGCCGTAAGTAGTCAGAAAAGAGTACATGTACAAACGTATATATACATACACATATATTCATTTCAGAATCAAAATGATAGCACGAATAATCGTGCTGACGGAATGTATGTCCTATCGTGTAACAAACTGTATGAAGTATCAGAATCTGTATCTTTATTCCATGACAAAAATGAGATGAATGATTTTATAAAAAAAATTATATTTTTCTTTATGTTATTAGAAGGACTGTTGAAACGAATAAGATTTTGATTTAAAGGTCCGTCGAAAAATTAAAAGACTACCTATAAACGTTATTCTGTGTACATAGATAAAATTGTTAATATTCATACAGACGTATGAAAGTGAAGTATTCTAAGATTTACTGAATATGGAGTAAATGAATAAGTAATGAGCAATAAATAAATACATATTACTTTCTACTTATTGGTTGTTTGAAAACTATGCATTATACGAATAATAGTGCAAACTTACTTTAACTTGATTACCCGAACAAGAATTCGAAAATATGCATACAATGTCGGATTTACTGTTTATAATTGATTTCAAACTTTTAGTCCAGTTTTCGTTTTGTTTACAGATTTATTCACTGTGGTTACATGATTATTTAGCTTTTTTGCTCTTAATTTTTCTCATGTAAAACTCCAATTCTTTTCCTTCAAGGATGTAGCCATCAGCACGGCCACATTGTCCAGGTCGACTTGCTATACAAGCTGAAAAAAAAATTGTCATTTATCAAAAATTCATTGCAGTATTATGATTTGAAATTTGGAAAAAAGATTGCTTTCTTTCCGTTCATTTAAAAATCGCATTATATAAAAAGAAAATATTACATAAAAATAAGTAACAGAAGAGGTTGTTATGCATTGTAAGTTACAATGTATAAAGACAATATATCAGCATATTATGCAGAATCTAATGTAAATTATATATAATTTAGCAAATGGAAGATCTTTCTTACCAAGCACACGTCCCGTTGCAAATTGCTCTTCCAGAGCAGGTTCTACTTTGGCAACCCTTTGTCTCGTCTTGTATTTAGCTTCAGCTTTCTTTGAACGTTTCTTATTTAAAACTTCTTCTTCAGCTTCGGTCTACACATATTTATTTTGATTTGCTTAAAACATTCTTGTCTTGAGGATACTCAGAGAGCGAGAGAATCAATTACTTACCAATTTTGCACCTCTCTTACGGCCAAGGGGCAACACATAATGGCTTTCATACCATTGTCTGAAAGGTGTTGCGTCTATTGTCACAATTGCATTCTTCACTAAAGTCTTAGTTCTCACTAATTCGTTGTTTGACGCATTGTAAACAACGTCAATAATACGAGTTTTCCTCGTAGTACACTCAGAACCCCATGAGAAGTTCCCTGTGTCTAACCGAAGCGCTCTGTACTTCTTGTTACCTCCTCGTGTACGTACCTGGTTTGAAAAAGAAAGAAAAGGCACTTATGGATTAAAGTTATTTTAAAATGAATAAATTCTAATAATTTCTGAATTGCATTCAGTACGCTGTGAGATTAAAGTCTTCACAACTTTCAGAGTAGGTAAAGGTATTCATCATCTCAAAAATCTAATAACATATTATTTGGGAAAACAAGAGATCTTAATATAAAATATTCTTCGATCATACCGTATGAATACGTTGAGCTCCGAGTTTAGTGTTTGCAGCTGGCCGTCCTAATTCAAACTTCCTCTTCTTTCGGATAGGTTTCCTTTTCCCACCAGTTGCTCGCCTTTTATGCCAATGATCACGGGAAATACCTGTAACAGATCAATTTCTTTGTATCTGATTTTCGTAAAATTAGATGATACAATAGACAATAAAAGTAATCGGACATTAAAAAGCATGACATACACACGTTTCCGTATACACAGAACAGTGACAAAAAGCTAGTCAAAGCCGATAACAAATAAATTTTAGAGTTATTATACCAGTTTTATCTATATAATATATACATCGATTAAAGAAACATTCGTATATATAAACTTGCAAAAATTGCTACTTAGTGATTTCTAAATAGAAAACACGGATTGAAAGCGATAAAAAGACAAACTGCATGAAGTGCGTCTTACCCATCGTGCCTCATTCACTTCAAAGGAGGAAAAACGGAAATGGTCGCTAACCGTGCAAGGTGCAGAGCATAACTCGCGTAGAACGCTAACGCTGCGAGTGGCCGCTTGTGGAACTACGTGTCTGCCATAGACTACGTATACACCACAGCGAAAATATGAAGTGCATCAGCGATGAAGGCCATGCATATGTATGGCCAACCATATTCTTTCCACACATGTGCAATGTGTACAAATCAATGGTGCCCTTAACTTAAATCATACGTAAAAACATTAAATCAACAGCCAATTAGAGCAAAGCCTAGCAAACTGCGGTTCTGAATGGTGCAGGAGTTGGAACTAGTATGTATTGTAGGGAGCTGGGAAGTAACTTCCGAATGAAGACAGTAGATGGCGTGGTTGACAGCTGATATATATCCATTTTACTGCGCATCCAATTCCCAAGTAGATCCTGTCTTAGTAGTGAATCGTCAGCCAATCAGAGTAAAGAAAATTTCTATTTCGACCCTGTACTCTGACATTATAAAAAGATTTGTTTAAATGCGGAAAGAATTAGCACATTGTTTTTAATGTCTACGCTAGCATTACGCATATTCTTCTAATAATACCTAGCAGGACCTCTGTTTCCAATGAATAATGTACAAATGAAGATGCCATCACCGAAATTTTATTTAGTTTTGTTCGGTCTTATGTAAAAGTAGTTATAATTATATTACAGAATGTAAATTAAATTGTTATTTGTTTATGAACTTGTGTTGATTGATCCAATTATTTCAAAGATATGAGCTTTTGACTATTGAATATTTTATTGTTTATTTTATCATCTATTCATTTTGAAATTATACCGTGAATTCGATTAATCTCGCTTAAAATCGAACTCGATTTATTAAGTTTATATCATATTAAATGTACTGAATTAAATTTTATATGAAAATAAAAAGTAATAAAATCATTATGAACAATAATCAAGTCATATATCAATTTAGATTTAACATATAATACATTTCGTGTCTAGTGACTCTGGAAGCCCAAGAATCCTGAAGGAACCTCACTGGACTCAGCAAGCGATGCTTGTAAGAGGTCCTGAGCGCCGAAATCGCATAGTGACCACGATTGCGAAGTTGTCGCCAGCTGATTTGCGTTGAAAAAAATTTCTTACCTTAAAGAAGTTATAGCCTCTTTTAAGTTAAACTATATTAAGTAACGTAAATGAGTATTGAAATATTTTGGTGTTGTTTTTAAAGTATCACAACTAATTTTATAACGTATCAGTAATATTACTTTGTATTTTTGATTCTTTGAAAGAACAGTTATAACTTGGAATAACTTATAACTTCCCGGTTGGCGGGAAGCGAGGCGGCCGAAGCTCAGTTCCGCTCATTAACTCGGCCGTTTCCCGCCAATCGAGCTCGCCTCTCATTGGTCACTGTGTTTTGTTAATAATTCATAAACAAAGTCGCGTATTTGCATTTTCATGAANTGTCTGCCATAGACTACGTATACACCACAGCGAAAATATGAAGTGCATCAGCGATGAAGGCCATGCATATGTATGGCCAACCATATTCTTTCCACACATGTGCAATGTGTACAAATCAATGGTGCCCTTAACTTAAATCATACGTAAAAACATTAAATCAACAGCCAATTAGAGCAAAGCCTAGCAAACTGCGGTTCTGAATGGTGCAGGAGTTGGAACTAGTATGTATTGTAGGGAGCTGGGAAGTAACTTCCGAATGAAGACAGTAGATGGCGTGGTTGACAGCTGATATATATCCATTTTACTGCGCATCCAATTCCCAAGTAGATCCTGTCTTAGTAGTGAATCGTCAGCCAATCAGAGTAAAGAAAATTTCTATTTCGACCCTGTACTCTGACATTATAAAAAGATTTGTTTAAATGCGGAAAGAATTAGCACATTGTTTTTAATGTCTACGCTAGCATTACGCATATTCTTCTAATAATACCTAGCAGGACCTCTGTTTCCAATGAATAATGTACAAATGAAGATGCCATCACCGAAATTTTATTTAGTTTTGTTCGGTCTTATGTAAAAGTAGTTATAATTATATTACAGAATGTAAATTAAATTGTTATTTGTTTATGAACTTGTGTTGATTGATCCAATTATTTCAAAGATATGAGCTTTTGACTATTGAATATTTTATTGTTTATTTTATCATCTATTCATTTTGAAATTATACCGTGAATTCGATTAATCTCGCTTAAAATCGAACTCGATTTATTAAGTTTATATCATATTAAATGTACTGAATTAAATTTTATATGAAAATAAAAAGTAATAAAATCATTATGAACAATAATCAAGTCATATATCAATTTAGATTTAACATATAATACATTTCGTGTCTAGTGACTCTGGAAGCCCAAGAATCCTGAAGGAACCTCACTGGACTCAGCAAGCGATGCTTGTAAGAGGTCCTGAGCGCCGAAATCGCATAGTGACCACGATTGCGAAGTTGTCGCCAGCTGATTTGCGTTGAAAAAAATTTCTTACCTTAAAGAAGTTATAGCCTCTTTTAAGTTAAACTATATTAAGTAACGTAAATGAGTATTGAAATATTTTGGTGTTGTTTTTAAAGTATCACAACTAATTTTATAACGTATCAGTAATATTACTTTGTATTTTTGATTCTTTGAAAGAACAGTTATAACTTGGAATAACTTATAACTTCCCGGTTGGCGGGAAGCGAGGCGGCCGAAGCTCAGTTCCGCTCATTAACTCGGCCGTTTCCCGCCAATCGAGCTCGCCTCTCATTGGTCACTGTGTTTTGTTAATAATTCATAAACAAAGTCGCGTATTTGCATTTTCATGAAGTAACAAGATCGTTATTTCAAATGACCTCAGGAATCACTCCTTTCAGGGTGTTAACATAATTATGGGACACCCTGTATATGTACTATGTTCACGTATACTATAACAAAATTAGAGTATAAAAATCGAAACAAAGGTAACGGAATTGTTCATAAAAATCTACCTCGTCGATATCGTATACAAAACCAAATGACATCATTGCGAAACGTAATTTTTGCATAATTCACGTTTTTAGGCGACTCTGCATTGTGCATATGGGAGCGATGGTGGCGCCACATCTGAGAAATAAACAAAGCTTCGTTCGATGATCGTGCAGTGGCAAAACGCTCAAACTGTTAGCTAATTTATCGACAGTTGATTTTGGCTCATGTTTTGCCGCTACCACCAATTGGCGCTGTATAGGCATCGAACGAAACTTTATTTCTGCACCAAAAGAGGCGCCACCATACATGTGCATATAGTTATTTCTTGTAAAATTATCTTGTTTATGCTTTAGTGGTAGCTGTTATCACAGAAAATTCAATATGGTGCCCGTTGTTGAACGGTTTATGTCGGATATCCGGATTTTAAAGTAGAAATAGTATCAATAGGTGAATTAGTTTACCGTAATTATGAAAATTCGATTGAAGAACGTGTGCCGTAACGAGAAACTCTGATGGCACATTGGCGTTTTGTATAGAAAACTAAAATTAATATTATTGAGTCATCCTGTACATACTCCTTAAGAAGTGGAATTCGGGCAACAGAAATCTAGGAAAATTGAGAAAAATGGAAAGCGTACAGTTGAACAACGTTACAGATACAATCGAATCAGAAGCTGAACCAAGTAATATCGAAGAGGGATCAGAAAATTCTGTAACGGATATCATGAATTTAGATATTAAGTCTCGATTGAGTCTGACAACTAGCGATACGTACGAAGAACCACGTACAAATGGAATGCCTCGACAAGGTCACTTCAACCAGCACGGTATGATAAATTCAAGTTTGTTTGTTGTATTCCCAGGAAGCGTTAATTACAACATAGTTAAGTCGAATGTGTAATAATTATCGAATGTTAAATAAGTAGGTCGAAATATATTACAATACGAAATTTATACAGTTTATGCAGTTACATGATTATTATTTAATTACTGATTCAATATAAATTGTATTTGCATCAATTTATTTAGATTCTGTTATTGTTGTATGTGTTTAGACGAAGCGAAAACATTGTCTTCAGAAAATGATGACAATAACATCCAATACGTTAGCTACACGAGTGAACTACAGATGCCCGATATTATGCACTTGATACAAACAGATCTCAGCGAACCTTATTCCATTTACACATACAGATACTTCATTCACAATTGGCCAAAATTATGTTTTCTGGTAAGTATATCTATACGAATATTATAGATAGTTAAAGATTATCTCTATCGAAGCTTGATCTTTACAATTAATATTCTAAAACAAATCATTCACGCTTCTACTTATTCGCGATTTTATGTTCGAAACATAAAAACTGAAAATCGACATTTCAGACGCGACAATAAGATGCAACAAGAAAGTGTAAGAACTTTTAGCCAGTTTTCGTTGGATTCCTTTGTCTTGCAGGTATAGAATTTACAGAAAAACTCTTGCTTTTTGTTCGTCAAGGCGATGCATGGTGACAAGTGTATCGGTGCCATTGTCTGCAAGCTGGATATCCACAAAAAGGTGATAAAACGTGGATATATTGCTATGTTAGCTGTTGACGTGAAATATCGAAAACGGAAAGTCGGATCGAATCTGGTAAGGAGAGCGATACAAGCAATGATGGAGGACAATGCGGACGAGGTGGTTTTGGAAACGGAGATCACTAATCGTCCAGCGCTACGTTTATATGAGAATCTGGGCTTCGTACGTGACAAACGATTATTTCGGTATTACTTAAACGGTGTGGATGCTCTACGATTAAAATTGTGGCTCAGATGAAATTCGTCTGTATATTTGTGTCAATAAACGTTACGATGATTTCAATGTTGAACAAGGAAAGATATGGGACACAGAGAGGGAGAGAGAAGAACAAAGATCATTTGTATTTCAGAGCACCGAGAAATGTTAATGCCAGAGAGATTACGGATTGTACGCGCACAAAATACATTTGCATTAGAGCTGATTTAGAAAGTAAATTTAATTAATCAAGTTTTCCTCTAGGCTTTACATTGTTGATATATTGAACGTGATCGTCAACCGCTTCGTTGAAATCTGATTATTGATTCTGTTTGTCGCAGTAATTGTTACGTATCCATTAAATATCTTTGGCATTAACTTGTCGCTCGTAGCTGGATTACGCGAGGTCAGGCGATAACAGCAAAGAGAATAGACTCTTCGAGGTAGTCTGTGTAAATTGCCGCAGGTTCTCTTGCGCATTCATATGTTTTGCGATTGTAATCATTAAGACGACAAAATGCACGCGTACACTATGCAAGTCGACTCGAACATGAACTCGAAAGTTTCAGGAAGTTGATTAAATTTCTCCAAATGCTAGTACGTACACACGCGTACGCATAAATAAACACCAACGGACGTTTATTGTATCGGACACTACGTATTTCGGTTGTGTAATAACGACGATAATCGCACGAGTAATCGGGTAGGAAAGAAAGCGTACAGATGCGCGCCCGGACACGCGTATGGAAATGAACACGAGTAAAACAAAAGTTACTGTTTGCCAAATGAAAATATTTCGACAAGACTACGTCGCACACGATTAACTCCAGGGCCGATTCATTGCTGTTTACATATTGTATTTACCTTTGTATAAAAGAAACGCGGGCCACGGGTCCGCGGTGTAACTATTAAAACGTGTAAAAATGTTAATAAAAATACAGAAATGTTTCTAGACTCCTCGGCCATTTTTCTCTTTCACGGCGAGAACACGAGCAAGGAAAGGAGAGCTTCTAAATCGGTAATTCTTACGACTCCCTCTTGGAACTGAACTAATTATGGTTTATTTTTGCTACCTCTGCTCCGGCCGGTATCCCATTCTATCCCCCTTCAACCCATTTGTCTCCCGACAAGCGCGCCTCGTTCTTCGCGAGGTAGACTCGGATTACCGCAATCGTTTGCCAGGATAATGAGCAGTACTTGTAGAATTGAAATCGGAGCTGGCCAGAAGGGGAGAAGCGGTTGCCCTCGAGGATCCTCCTGCGCGGTTGCTGTTACACGTATACACGGTGTTCATCGATTTCTTTTTTCGAGTGATTTTCGTGTTCGCGTATATCTCGCAGAACGGAGATATATGTATGTTCCTTTTTCTCGTCGAAGCAATAGAAAGAAGAAAGCTCATTGCCGATCGATCGATCCTCCATCCTGTTAGGATCGCTGATAAACTGTGCCCGATCGCAGCGGGCACACATTACTCGATTATTTCTGACCGGGTGGTTGCAATGTTTCCCAATGAAAGAGCTGTTAACACGAAGGCCTCGCTTCTCTCTGACAAACATAGTCGTTTCTGTAACACAGCAGATACGAAAAATACGATCAACGTGTGCGCGCACATATATATGTATACACATGCTTATCAAACGACGAGTATTACAAAGAAACGGGTAATTATTTCTGTCGCGGAATAGAAACCTTCTTTTCTTTTTCGGTTACATGGAAATTTGTTTACTACGGAAACAGAATCAGAAATTCGCGGCAAGGCAGCAACGAGATTGCTTTCGCCGGCGATCGATCGATTTCGAACCGATACCGAGCGCGGTTTTGTCGGCGCTGGAATTAGGTGAAACAACGCCGAAACTGCTGAAAGGTGGGCGCAGCTCCAGGCCAGAGGATCGCGGAACAAAATGCACAACGGTGAAGTACGAACGACGATAAAGAACGATAACGGGATAGCGTACGATAGTGCATGATAATGGACAGGGAACGCCGTCGGTCGAAAGCAGCTCGGCGCGACCTAACAATAATGTAGCCACACGAATCTGTTCCACGCGCGTCTGTTATACAGCAGCGACGGAACGGACGAGGGAGAGAGAAGCGTGCACGGGAGAACAGTCGATCGTCGTTCTATCTATGTTTTCAACGATAATTAGATCTCGTCTTGATCCTTTGTCCCGAGAACGATTGTTCTTTCGTTTGCTTAGCCGGGAACACTGCCTAAACGATGTCCCCTATAAATTGAATGATCCTATTGGCGTCATCCCTGTCGGATACCGTAATTCTTGTTGTTCAAACAAATATAAACAGTGGGATATGCTAAAACTAACTGTTTCTGGACTCACCGTTCCGATCGTTCGTTTCACCGTCTGTTCGATCTGGTATACATACGGAAATACATGCACGTTCAAAGAGCATAACCCCCGTCTAGAAAAACAGTTGTAACTAGACTGCGGATATCTTTATAGAAAATAAAACTGTTCCAAGTCGATTGCTGGAAACAGAAAGTCGAATATAAATGAATTTGTTCCTTTTAATACTTCCGACAAGTTGAGCACGGTGCGACAATATTATTAAATTGTTCTTGTGTTATCGCAATTTGATATGTTAGCGGCAACAAATTTTTAGAGAGAAAGAAAGAGAGAGAGTTCGGTAAGAATTACCGAACTAGGATCTTTGACAGATTTACGGTAGGGTCTGGAGATGCACGTGGCCTCGCGAGCGAGCGTATACAGGGTGTCTAAAAAATGTCTCGTAATCCGGAAATGGAGGGTTCCTGAGATCATTTGAAGCAACTTTCTCCTTCAGCGAAAATGCAAACCGTGGCTTCGTTTACGAAAATCAGTGACCAATGAGAGGCGAGATCTGCTGGCGCGAGACGGCCGAGCCAATGAGCGGAGCCGGGGTTCGCGCGCTCGTTGGCTCGACCGCCTCGCGTCAGCAGAGCTCGCTTCTTATTGGATGGCGTTTTTCGTTAATAACTCGTAAACGAAGCCGCGGTTTGCATTTTCCCTAAGAGAAAAGTTACTTCGAATAACCTAAGGAATCCACCATTTTCGGATTGCGAGACATTTTTGGGACACCCTGTACAAATTCTTAGAGCTTTTCTAACAGATATTTCTAAGCTATTCATTTCTGCCGCAAACACATCAAATCCGCGATCCGGTCACAACTGTCCGTAACGATCGGTCAAGGTTATGTTTACTCTTTCAAGGAAAATCTTAGAAAATATCAGAACGGCGGTATTAATTTAATCTCGGCCAATTGTTTAAAACACGTAGCTCTGTCGCGATCCGTAACCAGTATCGATTGAACAGAGGATCGAGAAGTCGAGAATCATCGTTGTCGTTGAAGAAGCAAAAATGATTTCATCGAACGCGTGCCGCGGTACGTACGTATTTTCATTCGTACCAGAATCTCGATATCGAGGAGCATGCTTTCGAAGCGCGTTTCGATGCATTTAAGTCCCGGCCACTCGAGTGTTCGTTCATAAACCGACTCGGTTTACGAAATATTCGCTGGAAGGATTTATTACCCCGACGACGTGTTACGGTTGAAACTAAAGTGGATCCGCAATTTGTTGGCGGCAACGCAATCTCTGTGTTGCCAATACCTTTCATCGAAACCCCGTCGACCGACAGCTAACAGATAACGTAATCGTGTTCGAGAAGGGATACCCTTATAGTTTACTCGAATCGATAAGAACAAGCTTTCAACGAAAAACTGGACCGTTAGACGCGTGCAATCTCGATTTTCATTATTCCACCGGTCAATTTGCCGCTGCTGGGAACTTCGCGTGTGTACGTACGCGACGGAAAACGTACGGGAACGGAAACGGTAGTAGCGAGGATGCAAATGGAAGCAAATGGAGGGCGTAGAATAACAAATTGCAGGGAGGATCGAGTGATGCACGTTGTTCACGGGGGCACAGCCAGACCCGTTCGCGTCGCGAATACTTTTTGCGCGCTTTCTTTGACCAGAGCAAAAAGCTAACACCCTTATTCATCGAAGCAACGTTTCATCCAATTACAGTAAATTCTCCCTAATTGACGCTCGGCTTGTACACAAAAATGAACAATTTGGGACGAGGAGAGATACGATTATTCGAGCCTTGCGACTCGTTTTGTAATCGTTGATAATCGGAAATTATAAAAACAAGCCGCGAGGCTCGAATAATCGTGTGAAAGATAGATAACAGCTTTCTATTCTTTTTAAACTTTATACCGTTTCGAATCGCTGCTATCCATTTCTGCCGTAAATGCATAAAAAACCGCGGTGTAATAATTAATGTGATTAAACCTTGAATAAATAGATCAGACATTACAGTAAATTCATCCTAATTGACGCTCAGGCGGCACACAAAAAATAAACAATTTCGGAAGAAGATTATTCGTGTCTTGCGGCTCGTTTCTGTATAGTTACCGATGGTCACAACGACTATAAAAAGGGGCCGCTTGACTCGAATGATCGTAGTATTCTTCTCTTTCCAAATTGTCCATTTCTCTGTACAAACGTTTTCAAACGGCGAGAATTTTTACGGTATCTCGATATGGATTGGCACATCGTTTGTAAGGAGACGCCGCGAAAATAGCAGCTGCGACGGCTCCGTACGCGGAAACTGGCCCCGGACAAAAAGGTCAAGGAGGAAAATAGTATCGCTTACCACAACACGGTATTGCCTAGACTCAGCGTAGCGTCACAGAGTTTCGTCGGCTAGTTCTACGGACGCGTTGGTAACGGTTGCTTCGAATACGATCAACTCGCAACCCTCCTGATTCAGGACTCGGTTCTGGGTCTGACTCGGGAGCAACGATTCCTGAAGGGTGTTGTTACCGTTGCACGGTTTATCGTTTCCAAATCCGTCGACGCTTTTCGGGGCTTGATGTTCGATCACGGTTCTCGAGAAAAACGGTAGCACCTTGAAAAATAATGGAGAAAGATATGAGATAGACGAAGCCCGCGCGTTTCGCGCTCACCGTCGCAAATTCCGACGTTGCCGTCCACTTTGGTCGAAGATCTTTGTCGGCGGCACAGTTCCTCGGTCCGCCTTTGTCCCGATTGGCTTCGACCGAAAAAAATACCTGCGCGAAAAGTATCGGACCGAACTGACCGACCGCAATCTTCGCGAGTTTGCAAAGCAAAATGAACAATAATCTTAACGTCAACGGCGCCGGAACGATCCTGGAATCGTCGTCGACCGTTTTCGCAAACACAGTCGACAACGATATACAGGGTATCCCAAAAATGCCTCGCAATTCGAAAGTGGCGGGTTCTCCAGGTCATTTGAAGCAACTTTTTCCTTTACAAAAATGTTCTCCGAGGCACCGTTAACGAGTTATTAACGAAAAACAGTGACCAATGAGAGGCGAGCTCGGCTGGTGCAAGGCGACCGAGCCAATGAGCGGAACTGAGCTTCGTGCGCTGGTTGGTTGGGCCTCGCGGCAGCCGTACTCGATTCTTATTGGTCACTGTTTTTCGTTAATACCTCGTTAACGGTGCCTCGGTGAAAATATTTGTAAAGGAAGAAGCTGCTTCAAATGATCTGAGGAACCCGCCATTTCCGATTTGCGAGACATTTTTGGAACACCCAGCACATGTATGTATCGTCATTCGGCGATACGAGCGTTAAAAATTGATCTCGTCGATTCGATTCTTTTTCGCCTCTTTGTATCTTAGTCGTACACAAATTTCATGTATAGTAATTTCTGTCTAATTCACGTTCAGAAATTTGCCCACAAAAATGGACAATTTGGGAAGGGGAGATACGATTATTCGTCTCGTTTTCGTAGTCGTATCTCTTATTCCCAAATTGTCCATTTTTCTGCGCAATCGCAGCGCGAATTAGGAAGAAATTACTGTAATTATTTGTACGTTATTCGTACGCCGATAACCCAGCCAGGGATTCAGTGGCGCGAGTGAAAGAACAAAGAAAAGAAATTACACGTGTTTCGACTGCGCAAGATTTTTTTTTGGAACGGTGGTGTGTTCGGCGGTCGCCGTGTTTAACAGTTTTCGAAGCTTTACTCCCGAAGATCGTTTTAACGGGTAAAGTTTCGGAGCAGGAGGAACGGTCCCTGAAACATCTTGCGTCCACAAGACGTGCAACGATACGAATTTCGCGATAGAAAGATTGTTCGGAAAATGTGTACGTATGCCTGGTATGTATATATACATGGTGTCCGAAAAATGTCTCGCAATCCGAAAGTGGCGAGTTCCTCGGGTCATTCGAAGCAACTTTCTCCTTTACAAAAATTTTCTCCGAGGCACCGTTAACGAGTTATCAACGAAAAACAGTGACCAATGAGAGGCGAGCTCGGCTGGCGCGTGGTGACCGAGTGGAACCGGGCTTCGCGCGCTGGTTGGCTGGGCCGCCGCGCGTCAGCCGTATTCGATTCTTATTGGTCACTGTTTTTCGTTAATAACTCGTTAACGGTGCCTCGGAGAACATTTTTGTAAAGGAAGAAGTTGCTTCAAATGATCCGAGAAACCCGCCATTTCCGGATTGCGAGACACTTTTGGGATACCCTGTATATGTGTGTGTGTGTTTCGGCGTAGAGCGTTAGTATGGCTGCTCGTTCGCTCCCGCTCGCGATTTACGATACGTCGGGTACCGCTTTTCTCCGAGCGGGAGTCGTCGGGAACGGCGAAATGACGTAAAATAGAGGAGAATCGAAGAGAACGTCGACGCGCTCGTTCCGAGCGCGAAAATACTGTCGGAGTCGAGAGAGAGAGAGAGAGGGTGCAGCAGCCGGTGGTTCGACGATAAGTTCGTACTTGCTTGAACTCTTTGCGAAAGTTATCGTTGAGCCAAGCGTAAAGGAACGGGTTGTAGCAGGTGCTGCTCATGGCGAGGCAATGGGTCATGAAGAAGCAGAGCCTGTAGTAGATCCAGCCGTTCGCCGGTGAGTAAAAATCGTCGACGACGTTGATGATGTTCAGCGGCAGCCACGATATACCGAATATCGTGACCATCGCGATCAGCATCCGGTTCGTTCGTTTCTTCCTCTCCCTGTCGGCCTCCTCCCTTTTGTCGGACTTGGTGCCGGGCTTCGATTTCGCCCGGTCCTTCAGCTTGAACGAGACGCGCGTGTAGCAGAAAGCGATCACGAAAAACGGCACCGCGAACTGCAGCATCGAGGTGACCGAGCTGAAGATCTTGCGGAACCGCTCGCTCGGCCAATGCTCCTCGCAGAAGGCGTTCGGCTCCTCCAGCTGCATGTAGATCCCGTACGGCAGGGTGACCAGCAAAGCCACCACCCAGATGCCGAAGATCACGGCCAGGCATATCTCGATCTTCATGCGCGGATGAAACGGGTGTATGATCACCATGAATCTGTCGATCGCGATGCTGGTCAGCGTCAGCGTGCTCGTGTACACGCTGACACCTTGGGCGTACGGGACCAGGTGGCAGAGGGTCCTGCCGAATATCCAGCCGCCTAGGAACGTGTAGAGAGGCGTGAACGGGACCGCGAGCATGCAGAGCAGCACGTCGCTCAGCGCCAGATTCGTGATGAACAGGTTCGTCACGGTCTGCATCTGACGGTTCCGTATCACCACGTAGCACACCAGCACGTTGCCGAACACGCCCAGAACGAAGATGCTCCCGTAAAATATAGAGAAGACGACCTTCGCCGCCGTGTTCGTGATCACGAAGTCCTCGACGCTCGGATGGCTCGAGTTACCGGTCCAGTTTGCCTCCTCGTGCTCGCTGGCCATCGCGCGTTCTCCTCCGAGTCCCTCTTTCCCAATCTTCGCGCGGGCTCTCGCCCCTTTTCTTTTCCTCTCGGTCGCGAGGAAACCCTTTTTCAAACGACCATCCTCCGCGTACCGGCTCAGCGGCGAACTACGAACGCGGGGCTACCGATCGCGCGACTCGCGGTCCGACCGCAGAGAACGAACACCCGGAGAACGCGCGGCAACCGCGCGCGACGGCGTCTCGGCGCATCCCACCGAAAACTAGCCCCTGTGTTTTTTTTCTTTTTTTTTGTTCCTTCCTAGGAACTCTAGGTCGCTTCCGTCGATCCGGTTACACCGAATTCGACGCGAGCTGTCTTAAAAATAGGAAAATCTGCCGTATCCTGAGACTGACCAGTTGAAAACAGTCGCCGAAAATAGCACCGATCCGCGGGCCCGCGACTCGAGTCCTCCGCTACCGCTCTTTTTTTCCCATCGGGAGCGCACGCGAGTCAACCTCTAATTAGCCGGACGGAAAAACAAGTCCATCCGCGGAACGACCGCGCGCGTCGTCGTCGTCGTCGTTCCGATCGAGAAAAATACACGCGCGCACACCCCGCACGATCACTGTACTCAATTTCTAAGACACCTGTTGCCCCGATTATCGGTCGCCGGTACGTCTCGATTCACGCGCGAACAACGAAGAACGAGGGACGGGGGTAACCCGTCGTGGATCACGATCGTTGCGCGATCGTTCGCCGAGGACACGTTTTAAAGCGAGACCAGCATCGAACGGAACAGCGATCAAGGAATATTTGAAGAATGTTTCCCTTTTAATTTGGCTTTGATCGAAGAAAAAAGAAAAGAGGACGGCAGGTAAGTGAAATGTCGAGAAGCGAAGAGCAAAAGCGGGGCCACGGTATCGACCATTTAGACGAAACGAAACGCATCCGCCGCCGGGCTTTTCCATCGACGACTGAGAATGGAAAATCGCTGGTGAAGTGAACCGGTCGAGCCGCCGCTCCTTCGCGCAGGCGTTCGCATTACACCATCTGTCTAGGATACTTTTCACTTGGCTTCCCTGTACCTGGCAGCTCGCTTTTCGAAATCATGTACTCCCCCCTCGGTCATCTTATGTACTATATAGCCCGTAGCAGCGTTCTTTCACTCCTCTTTCTCTCGCTCTCTCTCCCTCTCTCTCTACTCTATTCAGGAAGAAATCAGACTTGTAAAATACAGTAATTTATTAAATCGTTTATCTTTCTGGTTCTCACGATAAATCATCGAGTGTAAAGCATTTTCCATTACCTTATTGTACAGCTAAGCAACAGTTTCCGTCGCTACTCTATCTAGATGTATACATAATACCTTGTCACCTACGCGTGTCCATTTATCGACTATTTTATTCTTTTCTTATTCGTGTACCTGCCTTTATGTATGCGTATTTGAACATATGTACAGTTAGTTTGAATCGGAACAGAAACATACATACATACACACGTTCATCTTTGCCCCGTGTATCGTATTCAATTTATCCTACGATCGGTTTTTTTTTCGTAAAATTGTTCATTGCATCTGCGTACGTCCAGAGCCCGTTCACGTTTCCTTCCGCACAAAGCATCCCGGTTTACCCCCGCCGCCGCCGTCACCCTGTCGGTGTCGAGTCACCAGTCTCTATACACTTTTACCGGCGAGCACGTATCCGCTTCTCTTATTCTATAATTCCAATTCCATTCTATATGCACTTGTAGCATTTCGCGCCGACGTGGACGAATAAATATTTACGCGCATAACATTCCCGATATAACTCGTCGCGGGACGCGTGTGTGCACGAGTACGGTGGCTGTTTAACAAATTCGAGTAAACGCGCGAGTCGACGGAAGCGTCTCGTTACTTCCGGATCACCGACTAATTGGAGCGTTCGCAGAATTTTCAATGATATACACAGCGCACGCGGTATACAGTATACACGCCAACGATACGCCAAAAAATATTGGAACACAATCGAGGCGACGACGCTCGACGCGCACGGGTATATAATCGCTACCGCACAGCAACATTCGGAAAAATCGATGCCCGTATAAAAATATCAAACTCGTGCAGAAAGACGCGTCTGTTTCTTTGAATTCGATCCGTGTCTCGCGTTTCATCGTTATCCCACTCCACGCGATGCACGGGTACGTATCCGATACACGAACAACGGTCGCGTCGCACTTCCATTATAACGACGGCAATATGCACAGGACGTGTTTCCGCCTCTATGGCGAAATTGTGCTTTTCTTGTGGTTCGTAATAGCGCACGGTCACGTATTAGACGCGGGGCACACGATCGCGTGCGGATTCGGGATCGATTGATTGAAGCGAGAGTTCGCTTTTGTCTTGGAGAGAACCAACAGCACGTTACAACACACGTTCGTGGGTTCCGGTTCGAGAAAGCGACGCGAAGCGAACGTTACGACGAAATTTTCAGGCATACGAACTAACAATTAGACAGATTGCTTGAGAGAACGTTCTAGGAAACGCAACACACACAAACGAAAAACATGTTTTTCGTTTAGAATTTCGACAATTATTCTAGTCGTATGAAAAGGAAAAAGCAGGTCTCGAAGTAGAAGTTTCTTTCGTGATGTCGAAATTTTCAAATGTTTCTCTCTCTCTCTCTCTATCTATATATATATATATATATGTATATATATATATATATATATATATATATATATATATAT